GTCACTGGCCCTCATATGTGGGATCCGAACCAGGGCCCTCTGGCATCCCAAGCCAGTTCTTAACCATCGCACCACTCGGCCGGCTCTCAACATTATGTTTTTAAGATTCACCCAGGTTGTGGCTGCTGTGCATCCAATTTTGAGTTCTGTGTCATCTTCCCTTGTATGAATATAATAAAATTTTCTCATTTTGCTGACAATGGATATTGGAGTTATCTTCAGGTTTTTGCTATTGCAAACAGCGTTGCTATGAACATTTTTACACATGCCTCCTGGAACACATCTACATGTATTTCTTCTGGATACATTTACCTGGAGTGGAATTGCTGGGTCACAGGGCTGGCACTGACTGATTAATGCCAGATTGTCTTCCAAAGTGTTTGTACCAAATCATACCTCTCCACCTGCACTCCTGTTGCTCCACATCCCTGCCAACACTTGGCAATTTCAGACTTCTTAACTTTCTTCCCAATCTAGTGAGTATAATGGTATCTCAAATGGTGTTAATTAGCATTTCATTGAGGTTGAGTATGATTGCATATGCTTACTGGCTCTTGATTCTGTGATTGCTCATTCATGTCTTTTGCCCAGTTTCTATTGAGTCAACTGTTGTTTATTTATAGGAGCTCTTTATATATTCTGAATACTATCCTTTAAGAGGCAATAAAGTATAATTAGTAAGTCAGACCACTGGATTCAAATCCTAATTCTGCAACTGTGAGAGCATGGACAAAGCACCACACTTCTCTGTGCCTCAGTTTCCTCCTCTATAAAATGGGGGTCATTCTAAGGTTTACCTCTTGTTGTAGACTGAATGTTTGTGTCCCTCCAAAAAATTCATATGTTGAAACCCTAACAACGTGATGGTATTTGGAGGTGATTAGGTTTAGATGAGGTCATGAGGGTGAGGCCCCCATGAGATGGGATTAGTGTCCTTAGAAGGTGAGGAAGACGGACCAGAGCTCTCTCCACCACGGGAGCTACAGCAGGAAGGCTGCCGTCTGCAATCCTGGAAGAGAGCTCTCACCAGAACCCGACCATGCTGCACATTGATCTGGGACTCCCAGATTATAGAACTGAGAAATACATGCCTGTTGTTTGAGCCCCCTAGTCTATGGTATTCACTATAGCAGCCAGAGCTGACTGAGACACCTCTCGCAGTTCCTGTGAGGATTAAATGAGATCGTATTGCAAAGTGCCTAGAACAGTGTCTGGTGCAGTCACAGCAAGGCCTCAGTAAGTAGTAAGCATTTGCTATTATACATGTAACAGATACCTGCTTTCTCTGCGAGTCAGAGAGGGGCTTTTCATTATCACAGTAGTGTTTTAGGCAGAATCTTTATTTATTTATATTATTATTATTTTTTAAAGATTTTTATTGGGGAATTGGGGGGATGGGAACAGTGCTAGGGAATTGGGGGAAGGGGAACAGACAAGTTGCTGTCATTTTTGTTCTTCAATCTAGTTGTGGAGGATGTTGCTTCACTG